TGCCTACCTCGTGTGCGCTTCGCTCTAGCACGCGTACTTCCGCCGTCGCTCGTGCTTGCCTTTTGCGTGCGTGATAGGCCCGGCTGGCCGCGTTCTTGAGCTGTCTAGCCACTTCCGCATCATTCCCGTCCCCTTCAAGTGTTTCCTTGTCCTCAAGGATAAAGTTCGGGAATTGATCACGTATCTCATCAAGGTCCTCCCACGTGGCTTATTCAGGCGGCAACTCTTCCCAGTCAACAAGTACTTCCCAACGATAGCGCCCCGCTCTTTTTACTTTGCGGTACTCAATGGCTTGTCTGGGGCGTATGATAGCCCTGCCGTCAGCTGCGGTGGTTGGCAACTCCTCACAGTACTTCTGCGCTTCGCCTAAACTCCTCTTGAGTTGCGAGACATGGATAACTGGATGAATTTGTGAGCTTTCTGGTAACTCAACGCGATAAGCTACTTGACCAATGCGCTTTAGAATCTGATAATGCCCATAATTGCGGACTCCCAACTTAGTCGCGGCCCTTTGCGCTGTCGTACGCTGTCTGAATGGTCGTAGCTTCAAGTAGACATATTCGCCTGGCGCAAAATTTTCCTCTCGCCTTTTTCCGTCTGCGAAGGCTTTGGTTCGGTTGATTGAGCCTTCGAGTTTTCTTTTCAGCTCACGTAACATCAAGTCTCGTTCCTCTAGTTCACAACCAACCTCATCGTTGACTGTATTCCCCTCTGAATAGTTGACCAATGTTGGGGGTTTTCGCCCATAGACCAATTCGAATGGTGTCATCTTGGTCGACTCGTGGTAAGTGGTGTTGTACCAATATTCAGCCCATGGTAAAAAGTTTTCCCACCTCTTCGGGAATTGGTGGACATAGCACCTTAAGTACTGCTCGAGTGTTCGGTTAGTGACCTCGGTTTGTCCATCCGTCTGCGGGTGGTATGCTGAGCTCATAGATAACTTGGTCCCCTGGAGCTTAAAAAATTCAGACCAAAAGCTGCTCATAAAAATCCGGTCTCGATCAGAGACGATGGATCGAGGTGCCCCATGCAATTTCATCACATACTCCACGAATAACCTGGCAATCGACCTTGCGGTGTAAGGATGGGTAATGGGTATGAAGTGAGCATACTTCGTGAGACGATCCACCACAACCATAACACCGTCAAACCCATTAGAATTTGGTAGCCCTTCGATGAAATCCATGGTGATGTCTTCCCAAATTGCCTCGGGTACTGGTAATGGTTGCAATAGCCCACTCGGCCGTCGTGAATCAGACTTAGTGCGTTGGCAGTCATCGCATCGAGCTATGTAATTATGAACGGTACTCTGTTGCCCGGGCCAGAAGAAGGTGTTGGCTATTCTCATCCACGTGCGATAGATGCCCGAGTGACCTCCAACCTTAGAGTCATGGAAGTGCTGCAAGATCTGTTCGCGCAATTGCCCACTGTCGGGGACATAGACTCGACCTCGGTGTAGAAGTAGATCATTATGCAGCTCGTAGTCGATAACAGTGGTCTTACCTGCTTCTATCGATTGGCGCAGCCCCTGACAGTGGTTATCCTCTTCTTGAGCCTTCCTGATCTCTTCCCAAATGGCCCAAGTAGGTCCAGTGATCGCACTTAATTCGGCCACGTCCGTCCGTCGGGACAGTGCGTCGGCTACTGCGTTCTGTCGACCTGGTCGATAAATTATCTCAAAGTCAAACCCCATAAGTTTAGACACGAACTTCTGTTGCTCGGGGGTAACAATCCTTTGCTCCAATAGATGCTTGAGCGGTTGTTGATCGGTAACTATTTGAAAACGTCGACCTAATAAATAAGGCCTCCAGCACCGTACAGCCTCGAAAACCGCTAGCATCTCCTTCACGTACACTGACAGACCTAACCGAGTAGTGCCCAGTGCCTTGCTGAGATTGGCTAGGGGTCGCCCTTCTTGCACTAACACAGCCCCAATTCCAATGTCACTCGCATCGGTGTGTACCTCGAACAAGACATCAAATCTGGGCATGGCGAGTACTGGTGTTGTCGTCATAGCTTCTTTCAATTTTCCAAACGCCTCCTCGCTAGCTTCGGTCCACGCGAACCCACCCTTCTTGGTCATTGCTGTCAGTGGTTTGGCGATGGTCCCATAATCCTTTACGAACTTTCGGTAGTAACCTGTGAGCCCCAAAAATCCTCTCAACTGCGTGAGACTTGTCGGTTTAGGCCAATCGACCATCGCCTCAATCTTTCGCGGATCGACTTTCACACCGTCATGAGATATGAAATGACCAAGATATTCGACCATCTCCTGCCCGAATGAACACTTGGACGGTTTGATGTGGAATGAGTTGGCTTCCAGAATTTCGAGCACTACTCTCAGATGCCCAAGATGTTCGTCCCATGACTTTGAATAAATCAGGATATCGTCAAAGAATACCTGAACGAACTTACGCAGATACTCCTTGAAAATAGAGTTCATGGCGAACTGAAAAGTGGATGGGGCGTTGCATAATCCGAATGGCATGACTAGATACTCATAGTGTCCCTGGTGTGTGCGAAAGGCCGTCTTGGGGATGTCGGCTTTGTGTAGCCGAATCTGATGATAACCAGCTTGTAGATCGAGTTTAAAGAAATACCGTGACCCAGCTAACTCATCAAGCATGTCATCAACACTTGGAATAGGAAACCGGTCTTTGATGGTTGCAGCGTTTAGGGCTCGGTAGTCAGTACAGAACCTCCACGTGCCGTCTTTCTTTTTGTCTAACAAGACTTGAGAAGAAAACGGACTTTTGCTGTGCTGGATTAGCCCCGACTCCAGCATCTCGGGCACTTGCCGTTCGATCTCGGTTTTCTGAAAGTGAGCGTACCTATAAGGGTGGACATGTACGGCATGCTGTTCATTGACCAATGGTATGCGATGGTCGAACTCCCGATGCGGTGGCAGCCCTTTAGGCTCGCCCAGTACCACTTCGAACTCCTCGAGAAGCTCGCGTACATCTCCTTGCTGTTGTTCGTCACGATCCAGGTG